GCAATATATTGATGTTGTAAAAAGGCAACTTCAGATTAGGAAATAAATAAGGCATGATTAATAATATGTGTTAATTAATTAGCTAGGTTTATAAAAAAAGAACGATTTGTGGTGGGAGGGGAGGGGGTTCAAAGCATTTTCTAATTATTATCAAATGAGCTTCAAATTTCGGACAAACAAGCCAACCCCCACTCCCCAACCCGCCTCTCCCTCATATCAACCAAATGATTACCAACATTTTAAAACAAAACTGCGTTAGTCTTTTCTTTTATTTAGGGTTTAGCGTTTATCGTTATAGCAATGGTTAAGCTCACTTAAGTAGAGGGTTCAAATTATTTCAGTACAGGGTTCAACTCACTTAAGTAGAGGGTTCAAATTATTTCAGTACATGATAAAACTCACTTAAGTAGATTGTTCAAATTATTTCAGTACAGGGTTCAACTCACGTAAGTAGAGGGTTCAAATTATTTCAGTACAGGGTTTAATTAGCTTAAGTATAGGGCCCATCTCACTTAAGTGGAGGGTTCACATTATTTCAGTACAGGGTTCAACTCACATGGCAAACAAGACGACCTTGTATATTGTATGTACAGCCTCTACGACCTTTGACCTTTATCACTAGATACCCTGCCACACACCACGATAATCTATCTGCTAATCCGGCAGGTCAGCAGCCTGGCCGATTGGACCCTCCTGTATTGGTACGATGGTCAAGGGTAACCCTGGTTGGTTAAGTGTTAGGATTATGATCAAGATTCGAACGAGATGTAAAACTACCCAATGGAACTGCTAGGTATTGTGTGCTACATCAAAACCTGAAACTGCTCCATCTCACACAACTTAGTTCAACAAACCAAACCTAAAATGAAAGCATAGACGCAAAAAAAAATGAAAAAAAAATCACATTTCTAAGTTTAAACCTAAACTTATCTTAGCTTTAAACGTAAGTCCAATCTAAATCTGTCCCTGATTGACCATAACCTAAAAAAAATAAACCTTGCATTAGACCAAAGCCCAACTGTAACCTTAACCATGAACCTAAGGCTAGTAAACTAGCCCAACATCATCTCATCATTTATGTCAATACCACCAAGAAAAAAAAGCAACAACATCCAGCTATTTATAATTTAACTACGCACTACTTACAAAACTTGAAAAACAACAAACACCCTAAGTAAGACAACAAAAAAAAAAAAAAGGTTATAATAATATATGCTTACATCAGCTGCTTGTCATTATAGGAGTCAAGGCGTAGATAATTTAAAAAAAATATATAATATAGTGTTATATAATATAGTCGGTTAATAATGTTATTGTTTTGTTTTAAATTTTGTTTTGTAAAATGCGTTCGTTTTCTCACTTGAGAAAATCAGAGCTTGTTAAATGTGTATTTTGGCCTACATATGTTTTCAATTAGTTTTTTCAAGAAATCAATTTGTTTTGAGGTTGTTTGTTCTTTTTAAATTAAAAAATAAATAAATAATAAGTCCCAGTATGTACAATAAAGAAAACAAAATTTAATCGAGCTTAGAGTTAAAACAATGCTTCACATATTTAACGTAAAGGAAGAAAAAACTGTTTTAAAAAAATCGTGTTGTTATGTCGAAGATTGATGAAGACATGAAACAGCGGCGATAAAGTATTTATCACAGTGAAGTTAGCTGCAAATTATAACCATCCAACCAATGACTAACATGGCTCATGCTTGCAGTTGATAGCTTTTTCGAACGGTTTGGTCGAGCACAGAGGCGTAGCTAGGGGAGGGCCGGTGAGGCGGCAGCCCCGGGCGCCAACCTTAAGGGGCGCCAAAAGGGGTAGAGAAATTAATTTGAAAGCTCATTTTAAGCTGATTTATACACTGTCAAAGCTACGAAAAATAAACGACTACAAGGCTTCACACACTGATTTAACAACTTTGTGACACCGAAACAGAAATTGTTACAGGATAGTAACTGGAAAGAAGCGCCACAAACCTTTCCAAACGGGGGGGGGGGGGGGGGGGTGATTTTTCATAGAAAGGAACAACTATATATAGAAAGAGGGGGGGGGGGGGCAAAATTGATAGTCCGCCCCGGGCGCCGAATTAGGTCGCTACGCCTCTGGCCGAGCATATTCCCTCATACGTTAACAAAAAAACCTTCAGACAGACCCCTTGCAAACGCGTGACCTAAATCACGTGATACCTACGTCCGCCGACACGGTGGTGAACACCGACAGTAAACAAACGATTAGCCGTAATAACTGAAATCATGTTGGAAAATATTAAAACCAATACTTCTTTAATCTAAATTTAACCTTTTACACTAAACTTGCCACTCATCATAGGCGGATCTAACCTTAGATTTTTAGAGGGACTTTTCACAGTCGCAAGGTATACTTAGCAAAAATAAAAAGACTATATTTACTAATAGGTTATTTAATTATAAGGTAATGCTAAACTTGCTGGTTAGGCAATGTGGTATCCTGTGAAGATTTATTTTGCCATTCTTGTTAGGATTATTGCAAGAGTTAGTATAAAATTAAAATTAGGTTTAGGGTTAGGGTTAATACTTGGCTTGGGGGTTAAAAATTTACACCGTCGTTTCATATATCAATTACGAAACAGATGAACTCTACTTTGCCTACCGTTGGTTCCGAAAGTATATATTAGATACAATTTAAGGTTAGGTTTAGGGTCTAGTATTAGTATTATGTGGCTTAGTTTGGGGTAGGATTAGGGCTGCGTTTGGGACAGAGATACCAGTCCAAAGATGAAGCCGACGCCCTTGTGAATGTAGAATCTCTAACTCTACCCCAAACGATCGTGCAACTGTGTTTATTTCAGTTTATTTCAGTTTACTACAGCAAAACCGAAAGTAAAAGACTGGGAATTCCTTTTTCAACAAAAGTATGGTGAGTGGAAGTAGATGTATTCTAAGAATAGCTTCAAAAGGAATGCATGGGCGTACCCCCAGAAGCATCACCCCCCCACACACACACACACACACTCACACTCACACACAAGACAAGCCCAACATTGCGGATGTTCGGCACCAAGCCAAGTAGAAACGGCAAGTCTACAAGAACGGCCAGATTCTCACCTTGCAACTAGAGGAAGATAGATTGGAGAGAGACGCCGGTGAGGGGAAGGGGGAGAGAGATAAAAGCTATCATAGATGTGAAGAGTGTAGTCGTGTGTGTATATGAGAAGGGGTGGTGGGGGGGGGGGGTCGGGTATATGGTGACTTCTAGTCTACTTAAACTTTGCTAGCGAGATACAGTCACGTGATTTGCAACACTTTAAAGCAGAAATATGCAATTTATTTGTGTTGAGTTATCGAGAAACACTAAACAACTCCGGTTATATCCTGTTAGAGTTTACTATCGAATATATTCAGGTTTTACACATCTTTTTGTCTAGTTTCCATTTAAAAAAAATTACAAGTTACATAATGTTTGTTAAAAATGAAGCTTGTAGGTCGTTACATCGCCATCAACGTACTGATTAATTAGCCCAACGTTTGAGAACACTAAGGTTCAAATCCTATTTTTCTTATCTTTGACAAACAAACAAACAAAGCCTTACAGTAATTTGTGATCGGAAGTGTTAAATTTTCCTCATTTCGTTAAAACCAAAATTGAAAAATAAAGTTGTCTTGACGGATTTATAAAATGGGATTTACGAGATTTTACACGTGAAAACAGATTATGTTTACAAAATGGGATTTACTAGCTTAAAACATGAAAGATTAAACGCTTACAGTTAAATTTACTAAGTCCACGCATGAAAACAGATGTAATGTTATGTTTATTATGAATTCAATTAACAGAAGCGAGGAAGAACAAGCTGTGTTTACATTAACTAGTTAGTACTCACTCCGAAAACGTGTTCACTGTTAAAAGTGAGATGCAAACAAGACAGAGAGGGAAAATGGAAGAAGTGATGTAGTTTTAGCTCGGCGATTATAAGCCGTGGCGTTAAAGAGAACTTTACAGTAGCAGGCGATGACAATATTTAACTCACGTGTTGGTACCGCCTCTAGAGATGTGTTTACATTGGGAGGATTAGATAATGGGAAGAGGGGGGGGGGGTGTAGGTTCTTGTGGCGGAAGAAAATGCCGGGTTTTTTTTTTGTCTTTAAGCGAACTTGCTAGTAAATCGCGCGGTGCTGAAATTTAGGTAACAGCAACCCATGTGTGGGTAACATGGAGATAGGATGAGGTGAGGGGGGGGGGGGAGAAGGGGGAGGGGGTGGAGACAGAGCGTCAGGGGCGATGATTGATACGCTCCCCAGCAAGATGCAACCAGGCACCAGCTATTGTGGTAGGCTGATGTAAGGGGAGGTAATTATAAAGCGATTAAGACTGGATTATTAAAAGAAGATGTTTAAAATTAAAATAAAATGATTAAACGCAATCAATGTTTTAATTTCTTGGAGGGTTTGTCAATTAATTTAATTTGTATAAATCGTTTAATAACAGTAGACGTTTGCTCTTTACAGTCAGGGGAAAAGTATTAACAATAATCAAATAACGAACTGCTACAAGAATAGTTAACAACGCTAAGTGGGTTAAACTTTAAACTAAGAAAAAATTATTAAAGTTTTTTTAAAAATATTTTAAAATAGCTGAACTTATCATTGTTTATTAAACTTCGCTTCTTTTTAAAATTACCTATTTTCAAATTCTTGTATAGTTTGTTACAATTAAATTAAAGAGCTTTTTACATTTAATAGCATCTTAACGCGAAATGTATAAATATGTATATATTTGTAATGTAAAGTGCATCAATAATAACACTAGAACTAGTTGTTCTATTATCGTGAGATATTAAGACATCCATTGTGTTCACCTTTCTTATCAGTTGCCGCCCTTTATAATTGTCACGGTAGCTTCCCCTGGGACTACAGAAGGTTAATTAAAGGTGATGAGATTCTGCACGTATATCTCACCGACCTAGCTACCTCATCAGCGGAAAACATAAGTCGCAGAAATAAACTACAGTTAATTAAGTGACTCACCAAATTCGCTATCTTTTCCTGCTAAATTCCTTTTGAAAGTTTCTGAAAAAACAAACAAACAACAAAAGATCGCAAACGTTGCTTGGTGTAATAAGTATCCAGAGAAACTTTTTTTTCATACAATCCAATATGAAAAAAACAAAAGCATATTTAAAATAAAACTTTTTTTTGTGTGTAAAATCCCTGAAAGTTGAATGCAGATTAAATGTAGTAAAACCCGCACGGGCGAAATGCGTATAAACTTTGTTAACTTACTTCCAAGAGGCCTAGGCCTTAAAATTTGCTGGCAGCCTTTACAAAAACTGCCGGTGGAAAAGAAAAGCTTAAACCCCTACACCACAGTGCTCGCAGACTAGCTGCCGCTTACAGAAGGACTGGAGGGAGGGGAGGGGGGGGGGGGTTAAAGCCGTACGTGTGCGCGCGCGAGAGGGTGTGAGCAGAGTGGATAAGGCGAAGTGTAGTGTGAGTAACGAAATGGTATGCGTTTTTTTTTCTTTTTAAAACGTGCATGCTGTATAGGCATAGCATGCACGTTATGATATACATAGAGTGAGCACACACTTTGAAACGAACATGAAGAGAATGTGAGCAAGAACTAGCCGGGTGCGCGTGCATCGACTCCACAAGCACGCGAACATTTGCAGAGAAAAATATAAAAAAACTTAGATGGGAAAGACATTTGTAATCAATAACCTAAACAGTTTAAATAGGAATGAAACAATTAAACAAACAAACCACGGTGAACTAATTTATTTTAATTATCTGCAATTTAAAAAATAATGTTATTTAAATTTCATTCTTTTAGCTTACACCATAAGCACAGGAAACTATAATATGTACTAATTACTAATGTAATATATTAATTTGTAATACGCTGTATGCTAGAAGTTGTATACTGTGTTGTGTGGTAAGCTGCAAAAGCACTGTCATATGAAAGCTGCTATATTGACAAGTCGGACAAAATGCTATCATTTTATACATATCGCTATCTGAATATGATCACCTAACCTTTACAAACTTAGAGCATCACCCTAATTCTTATCAACCCATAAATCCATTGCAAGGCCTGAGCCTACTTCATTTCCGACAGCAGAAAAATATATTAATAGCACTTCGTATCGGCAATTTATATATATATATATATATATATATATATATATATATATATATATATATATATATATATATATATATATATATATATATATATATATATATATATATGTATATACATATACTTGTATATATATGCACAAAGACAAAAAACCCAAACCATCGCCCCCCCCCCCCCCCCCTTTTCCTCCGTCAGTTCACAGTGACTGAATCTATCAAGATAAGTGTAGAAACAAATACTGCCCATGTCTTTAGTTTTCTGACCTCCCGCATCAACTTGAAATGGTCGTTTCTTTCAAGCGGCGCGAAACCTCCAAAAGTTTGTTATGACAAGCCAGCTGGGAGGGGAAGGGGGGGGGGATAAAGGCGTCTTCTCTCAAAGTTTTGTGTCTACTTACTACACAAGAAACACACTACACATCAAGACACACACCACGCAGCACACATTCACACACTCATATATAAAAATTTAAATTGCATCTTTCTTTTATATCACTTTAGTATACAAAATGTACATATTATTAAATTATTAAATCAAATATTTTTATTTAAACGTTTATTTGCATTTTAAATTTAATAACTGATATTAGATTAAACAATTTAAAATTATTTGGTAAAATTTAAAAAAATTCACTACACGCTTTATTTTATATTTTTTTGAAAATATACCTTTTGCGCAACTCAAGATTTAAAAACATTCCTTATTCAACCTACTTATACAAGTGTACAAAATCTAATTAGTTTAGCAGTTAAAAATCTGGGTTTCATTTCCTCTCTATCAGTTCACTACCAATATTTCCCCCATACTAAACAAAAGTCACTGAACATATATTTGTGCGGGGGACTCTGTCTTTCATCTTTCATATCCTTGAGTCAGGACAAAACGGGACCAGGTTTCAAGGATAAAAAAGATACCTTTCTGCTCACTAAGTCAACTCATACCACACAACGAATCTTCTCCAGATATATTTTCCGACCCCCCCGACCCCCCCCACCACTCCAGCATCCAATCCCCTTTGCGGTGTAGGAACATGCAGGTCAGCTTGAAATCAGTGCCCCCCCCCTCCCCTCCCTGCTTCTTATCCCGTGGGGATCCTATTTAGCCACCTGTTACTCCACGTTATTTAGCGTGAAATGACTATCAGGGAGTCAGGGTTAGACCAAGAATGGGTTGGTTTTCGAGAAGCGTCCGGGGGATGTGATAGGGAAATATAGTGCGTGTGTGTATATATGTGTGTGTTTGTGTGTACTAGGTGGTGGGGGGTAGTGGCTACTAGTGTGTGAGTGTTTGTGAGGTGTGAGACTAGTTCGTGAGTGTGCGTGTTCGTCCCCGAATAAAAGGGGAGGGGCTGTGGCTGCAAGTGTGTACATGTATGTGTGTGTGCGTGTGCGTATGTGTGTGTGTGATTGTCTGTGAGGTGTTAGACAAGTCTGTGAAATTCTATAGCGTATTTATGTGTGTGTGTGTGGGGGGGGGGGGGGGGCTGTGGTACTTTAATGAACAAAATGGAATATTTTGGTGATAATTAGGGTTGTGATCGTTGTTCGACCGACAGTGCTGTCCTATTAGGTTAGGTAATTATACAAGCTAAGTGGTGACATGTGGTCTTCTTGTGTGTACCCGTGTGTGTGAGTGAGTGAGTGTGTGTATGTGTGGCAGCTGTGTGAGATATACCAGCTACCCTGGGGCTGGGCCTAACACCGCGTATAATGAGATGATCGAATCCTGTAGCTTTGATTCAACCGACGATTGAATACTAGACTACAACAGGGTTTTGTTTGTAATAAGTGACAAACCATGCATGTTAAATGGCAGTGACATTGAAGGAATATGTGTGGGGTGGAGGTGAGGGGGAGGGAGAGATTGGTGGGGATGATGAGGGCAGGAAACTGAATATTCATCCCTTTCCACCTGTGCCAAAGAAAAGTTCAACCCTGAATAAATCCTTGTCAGGAAACGCGTCCATTCTAAGTTTGGCAGCTGCGATCAACTACGATAAAAAATCTGGTCACTGACAAGCAGCCACGCCCACTAATTTACTTCCTGTAAAACAGCGCCTTCATTCGACCTTGAAGATTTCACTTTCTCATTCGTTCCCAAGTCACATGGATCAGATGAAGTCGAGTTTATCTGTTTCAATGACCTCGGTATACAAGGAGATAGTGTGGTCAGCACTAAGCCCAACCAGTGTTTCTTCCAGACTTTTTTCTCCGGGGGTGCTCTTGAAATTTTTTCTGGGGGGGGGGGGGGCGGTAGACTTTCTTTGGGGGGGGGCGGACACTGTTAAAAGTATATATTTTCTATATAAATTATATAAATTTCATTTCGTTCGGGGGGGGGGGGGGGGGGGGGGGGGGGGGGAGAGGGGCGGTAACATTTTTTCGAGGGGGCGAAGAAGAAACTGAGTCCTACCGCTTTTGGATTCGCCTATGGATTCATTCAAGCCCGCGATCCGAATTAAAAGATTATTCGTGACGTACATTACCTTCGCCAGTTCTCGCCCCTTATAACACTACTACTGCTCTTTTATTTTTTCCGCTAAAAGAAACTCCATCTCACATTCCATGTTTTTGAAAATCTCGCATTTTCTAAAACAACAAGAGCTCCAAATAATTAAATATTTTACTTGAAATTTTTTAATATTGCTACACAAGCTAGGTAAATATGAAAACTTATTTTTTAAAAATAAAGGGTACTTCATTACAAAAAAAAAAATAAGGTTGCCTGTAAAAGGGTACTTGTAAAATCAACGTGAGGACCTCTGAGTTCCACATTTCTCATTCGTCACAAGCCTGCGATACGAGACCAGAAAGTTTAAAGGTCAAGCGATTCTTGTTCCAGTACTTCGGTTTTCCCGGAACTTGCGCCCGGCATACAGTGTCAGCGTGGGTGGCAGACGACGGTGGTTGAGTGTGGCAGACGACGGTGGCTGGGGGTGGTGGCTGGGGGTGGCAGGCGACGGTGGCTGGGGGTGGTGGCTGGGGGTGGCAGACGGTGGCTGGGGGTGGCAGACGACGGTGGTTGAGTGTGGCAGAAGACGGTGGCTGGGGGTGGCAGACGACGGTGGCTGGGGGTGGCAGACGACGGTGGTTGAGTGTGGCAGAAGACGGTGGCTGGGGGTGGCAGACGACGGTGGCTGGGGGTGGCAGACGACGGTGGCTGGGGGTGGTGGCTGGGGGTGGCAGACGACGGTGGCTGGGGGTGGCAGATGACGGTGGTGGCAGACGACGGTGGCTGGGGGTAGCAGACGACGGTGGCTGGGGGTAGCAGACGACGGTGGCTGGGGGTGGCAGACGACGGTGGCTGGGGGTGGCAGACGACGGTGGCTGGGGGTGGCAGACGACGGTGGCTGGGGGTGGCAGACGACGGTGGCTGGGGGTGGCAGACGACGGTGGCTGGGGGTGGCAGACGACGGTGGTGGCAGACGACGGTGGCTGGGGGTGGCAGACGACGGTGGCTGGGGGTGGCAGACGACGGTGGCTGGGGGTGGCAGACGACGGTGGTGGCAGACGACGGTGGCTGGGGGTGGCAGACGACGGTGGCTGGGGGTGGCAGACGACGGTGGCTGGGGGTGGCAGACGACGGTGGCTGGGGGTGTTAGACGACGGTGTGTGCAGACGACGGTGGCTGGGGGTGGCAGACGACGGTGGTGGCAGACGACGGTGGCTGGGGGTGGCAGACGACGGTGGCTGGGGGTGGCAGACGACGGTGGCTGGGGGTGGCAGACGACGGTGGCTGGGGGTGGCAGACGACGGTGGCTGGGGGTGGCAGACGACGGTGGTGGCAGACGACGGTGGCTGGGGGTGGCAGACGACGGTGGTGGCAGACGACGGTGGCTGGGGGTGGCAGACGACGGTGGCTGGGGGTGGCAGACGACGGAGGCTGGGGGTGGCAGACGACGGTGGCTGGGGGTGGCAGACGACGGTGGCTGGGGGTGGCAGACGACGGTGGCTGGGGGTGGCAGACGACGGTGGATGGGGGTGTTAGACGACGGTGTGTGCAGACGACGGTGGCTGGGGGTGGCAGACGACGGTGGTGGCAGACGACGGTGGCTGGGGGTGGCAGACGACGGTGGCTGGGGGTGGCAGACGACGGTGGCTGGGGGTGGCAGACGACGGTGGCTGGGGGTGGCAGACGACGGTGGTGGCAGACGACGGTGGCTGGGGGTGGCAGACGACGGTGGCTGGGGGTGGCAGACGACGGTGGCTGGGGGTGGCAGACGACGGTGGCTGGGGGTGGCAGACGACGGTGGCTGGGGGTGTTAGACGACGGTGTGTGCAGACGACGGTGGCTGGGGGTGGCAGACGACGGTGGTGGCAGACGACGGTGGCTGGGGGTGGCAGACGACGGTGGCTGGGGGTGGCAGACGACGGTGGCTGGGGGTGGCAGACGACGGTGGCTGGGGGTGGCAGACGACGGTGGCTGGGGGTGGCAGACGACGGTGGTGGCAGACGACGGTGGCTGGGGGTAGCAGACGACGGTGGCTGGGGGTGACTAGGGGTGGCAGACGACGGTGGCTGGGGTGGCAGACGACTTTCTCCGACAGCCGTACATATACGAACTGAATGGGCTCGGTCAAGCCCGCCAACCGATTTCAAAACTTTCGGGTTGGCAGGCACATGCTCTACCACTTGACCTCACCTTCCCTTAGTTTCACGACATCGCTTCTAGAAAAGATGAGAATAAGTTTGTGGCTACTATTCTGTGACTTGTTTTCGGTGACTTTTCTCCACCTAGAAACAAATACCCATAGTACACTAGAATAGTCCAACTATACGAGCAGTTTAAGTAAGAACTCTCCCACCAGTAGGTTTAGCTAAATTATAATATTACTATCACTGTTCCCCCTCTGTGTTTTATTGTTCTATGTAAGACTAAGACAATTGATTATTCAAATAGAAATGAAGCTAGGAGTAATTTCTAAGAACGGAAAATCCCGTTCATAAAATTCTCCGAATTCTTAACACAGTGCTAGCACTTCTTTGCCTATCACTGTGTTCCTGCGATTTTATACTGCTGGCAATATCTGAAATGGTAATAAAAACAACCTCAAGAAAGATGGAGGGTAAGATAAGGTCATGCAAGCTGCAGTTGCTGTCGTGTACATCAGCTCTTGCAACCTTTTGCAGCAAGATCTGGATGGTGCTATCGTCTGATGACGTCATATTAGTGGCGTAGCTAGGATTTTCGGGCCCCTATGCACAAATTATCAATGGGCCCCTTCGCCAGTCGTAGAGTTAAACATGGGCAGCAGAGAAATCAATTGCTACGTGCGAGCGAGGATTTTTAAATAATGTAAATTTTTGTATTTTATACGTCTAAATTGTGTATTGATACTGTACTGTATTATGATGTACTTCCCCTCTAAAGTAAAATATATTGCGTCACAAGGGAAAGGTGGTTCACATCGGGTAACACCATTTAGTCGTAACACCATGACGAAAAATTGTAAAATGTACTGTCAAAACTATGTTTTATCCAGTTAAAATACTAAAATATTAGGAAGAGAGGGGTGACACCCTACCGAAAATGCAAAATTGTTGTGTGGGGGGGGGGGGGGAGGTGGGGGAGTTACGCCTTCAGTAAGCGCTCATGGGAACAGCCAGCCTTATAACCACTAACCTAATACAATTTAAAAAAAAATTATCACGCTTTATTTAGATTTGATTTTTTAAAAATATAAAATAAATATTAAAATCCCAATGTAAAAGTTTTAACTTTTTCAAAGTAGGAAATGGGCCCCTATTTGTCTTGGGCCCCTATGCCTTACTTACTCTAGCTTTACGGTAAGTACGACCCTGCGTCACATGCGTTGCTGGGGACGGGGACGAATGACGGGGATGATGGATAAGACACCAAAGTTGTTTAAATAAGGCTTGAACAGAATATTGTTTTAACAGAAAAATACACCACACGCAACCATTCTCCCACTAAATTAAATCAATTTACTTCCACTTTCTCCCGTCAACCACCACCTCATGCAGTAACTCACACTGGCTATTTTTAGGATTGTAGGAAAAAAAGTCACAGGAAAAAAAAACACAGGAAAAAAAAACACAGAAAAAAAGTCACAGGAAAAAAAGTCACAGGAAAAAAAGTCACAGGAAAAAAAGTCACAGGAAAAAAAGTCACAAATATATATTTGCATGATATTTGATAATACTTTTATGTATTAAATATTTAGAGAGTGCAAATTAACTTAGGATTAATTAAATGTAATGTAATGTGTGTAGGCTGTATACGCATAGGAATTTTTATAATTCATCTTAAAATATTTATTATGAAGTATGTAGATTGTAATTATTTTAAACTTAAGATTAGTAGCATTTAATAGAATGCTCCAAAGTCCACGGTTTTCATCGTGTTTTTTTAATACCATTAAATTACCGTGAAATGGTAAGTTCATCTGACTTGCTGCCCTCAACTCATGGCAACAATAGTTATGTTTAGTTCAACCACCTTTACTGCCCACATGTATCACGCTCATTACATAACAAAACTTAGGATCAAAACAGAAAGCCGACAAGGTTCAAAGGCTGTCGTTGACGCATAACGTCAACAACACAACATATGTTCGGACAATGCCTACTGAGGAGAAGCCGACCAGAGAATAGCCTACGGCAAAATGTGCCTAAATTTCTTTTATAATTAACTTTTCTACTGCGTATTTAACTAAATACGTAACAAAACTTGAGATTGTTGTGTTAATTATCTTAGAGTATTTTTACTTACAATTGTTATAAATCATAACCCTTTTAACGTCTATAAATAATTTATGCTATCAAAAAATACAACCCACAACAATAAACATACACAATTTTACAATTCTTAACAAATTAATAAAAATATTTCTAAAAAGATTTTTGTGACTTTTTTTCTGTGACTTTATTTCTGTGACTTTTTTTCCGATAAAATTTTTCCACTGTGACTTTTTTTCTGTGACTTTTTTTCCTAGCAAAAACTGTGACTTTTTTTCTGTGTTTTTTTTTCCTGTGACTTTTTTTCCGTTTACCATTTTTAGCCTGCTACGACTCACACATCAGCCTTAGAGAGTAACTAAATTCACCCCTGTCTTCTCTGTTTGAATATTTTTTCTCCAGCTCTGTCTGGCTTTCAAACAAAATTTGATGGCATCTTTATGCCCACTATTTTAGGGACTTAAGTGCATCATAAACTTGATAGTCGCGATTTTTACGGGGTAGTGTTTTACGTTAACAATATTACGAGTGATGCTAGTGTTTTTAAATAATGATGATAGCAAACTTTATATATATATATATATATATATATATATATATATATATATATGTATATATATATATATATATATATATATATATATATATATATATATATATATGTATTCCAAAAGCGCAAAAGCGGGTGTATTGTAGGGATTTTGAGCTGCTGAAGCCAATGAGAAAAACTACTAATGAACTTAACATCGTACACCAACAAACAAGCGTCGGTCAAGGCTGTGTTTTAAGGGAGATAAGTCTCACTCATAGAAGTACTGGGAGGGTGAGAATGGAGTAGTAAGGGAGGCTACTCTTTTTGTATCCATTCAGTGTAAACGTGCAAGCTGAAAACATCGGCCTGCCTAGGATTTATGAACAAGAACATATATATATTACCTTGATATTCGGTAATCACAATCAAATGTTTGGGATGTTCACGGTATCAGCTTGACCACTTGTTCACACAGTCCATGTGAACTCTTACCCAGAAAGATATCCAAATCCTAGATACCCACCATTGTAACGCATTCTGAACACATTTATATAAAGGAGTTTTAATTGTTTTTTTAACTGGGGGAAAGTATAACTTCTTTGTTGTCGATCACAGGAAGAGACTTTAAGTCTAATTGTATTGTTCTCGTCAAAGTTTAAAAAAAAAAATTCCCTTTTTAAACTAATAAATATCCTCATCATAATGGCTGTAAACTGTGTAAAAATAAGCTTTTAATTACAGGGAACAACTTTTAACACCATAATAGCACGTTTAAATCATAAGCTAGTTGTTAGCGCCCCCTCCTCTTTTAATAGGATGGTATATAGTAGGATGGGGTGGGGGTTACAATACATCTAACACAAGTATAGGTCAATTTTTGTGTTATGCTTGCATCACACCTTTAAGGAAGGGAATTAAGTTTTATATATATATATATATATATATATATATATATATATATATATATATATATATATATATATATATATATATATATATATATATATATATATATATATATATATATATATATATATATATACACTCAATTTAGAAGAGCATCATCGCTCAAAATTCCAATGAGTACTTCAACTACGACAAAAACTTAATCTACTAAGAACTAACTAGAGGACCTTTCGGTTCGCGATTAATTTAGTTAAATACATTTCAACTTTACAGACAGACCGGTGACACAGTCAAGGAATTAAATCGTTCATGTTTGTCGCGACAGTATCGTCATGGGTGTGGTTTTTGGCGTCAGACAATAATCATCTCGCATGCTGTATGACTTGATATCTGGCATGTTGAATGAGTTGACATCTTTCATGTTGTACAACGTGATATCTTGCATGCTGTATGACTTGACATCTGGCATGTTTTGTAGCTTGCCTGTTTGCGTGTTGTATAACATGACATCTTGCAATTGAATTAACTTAACATCTTTCGTGTTCTCTAGCTTGACATCTTACTTTTTCTATGACTTGACATCTTGCATGTTGTGTAGATTGACACCTTCCTTGCTGTATGACTTGACATCTTGCATGTTGTGTAGAGTGACACCTTCCTTGCTGTATGACTTGACATCTTGCATGTTGTGTACATTGACATCTTCCTTGCTGTATGACTTGACATCTTGCATGTTGTGTAGATTGACATCTTCCTTGCTGTATGACATGACATCTTGCATGTTGTGTAGATTGACATCTTCCTTGCTGTATGACTTGACATCTTGCATGTTGTGTTGACACCTTCCTTGCTGTATGACTTGACATCTTGTATGTTGTGTAACTTCACATTTTTCGTTTTATATAACTTGGCACCTACTTGTTATATGGCTTAACATCTTACATCTTGTATATCTTGACACCCTCCTTGCTGTATAACTTGACATCTTGAATGCTGTCTCATCTGACATCCAGACTACTTGCTGTTTAATAGAACGTCCCTGTTTTCGATTGTTTATGTTGTGTATAGACATAACTATTTAGAGTGCTATAATCGTGTTGAGATTATGGGCTGTGTCTAATGTGGATTGGGTTAGTGATTTTGAAGTATGCATGTATTGGCTAGGGGTTGTGAAATTATCTGTACAGATTTGGTGTCGTTAAAATATATAATGTTGTTTAAGGATGGCAGCAAAGTTGTAGTACTTATATTACTTATACTATGGGACGGCGTGGCCTAGCTATAAAGCGCTATACTGATTACCCGAAAGTCTCTAGTTCGAATCGGGGTTCAAGTCAGTAAAACGTCCATCAGTCTACCCAGCTCTGAGGGGTACCTAAGTCAAGTTATGGAAAATAAAGGTGTCTGGACGCGGTGCTGACCACATTATCCCTTCCAATGCCCAGGTCACAGAAACAGGTGAACTCTACTCCACTTGCCACATAGACCGTCAGGGAAGTTTACTTTTATTACTTAGATTGGGGTTTTGTAAAAATCATGTTGGTTATGAGATGTGGGCGGTAACACAGTGGGTCACATCCCCCTCTCCCCCTCCCCCCCCCGTACACATAACACATTCCCCTCACCCTACTATTTTAATAATTTAACTGCAATTGACATTGTTTTGTCAGAAGATTTAGCGGCTATTAGATTTGGTTGCACTCCCTAAATGAGGTCATCCAGTGCAGACCGCTATCCCCCACAACCTCCCCTCCCCCCACCCCACACACCCGCCTTGTAAATACTACTCGTTGGAAGAAAATTATAAAATTCCTGATGGATTATGGACTATTTAATATTGTAGGCCTATGTGTTGTTGATAATACTTGTGTTGGTGAACTTTTCTATTGTAGGCTTATGTGTTGTGGATATTACTTGTTTTGGTGAACTTATCAATTGTAGGCCTATATGTTGTGGATTTAACTTGTGTTGGTGAACTTTGCTATTGTAGGCCTATGTGTTGTCGATATTATTTGTGTTTGTGGACTTA